TTTTTTCAGAGCTGTGTTGGAGCTGTGATGACCCGATGTGTGACATCCTGATGTGTGACATCCCATCGTGTCCACCTGGTCCTGCTCCAACCTGAGCCTCCAACAGGGTCCCAGGGGTGACAACAGGACCCCTCGTGTCCTTGGGGACCCCCACAGTGAGTTTTCCCAGGAGTTCTGATGAATATTTTGGCATGTGGATGTGCGTTGCTTCGGTGCATTTTTATGCAGCACCATCTCTTTGGTCAGTGCCTGTTGGGATGGGCTGTCCTGGCATGATTCTGGTGTTAAAAACACCCAATTTTGGTGCATTTCAGTCCCCAAACAGGTGGATCCATGACCTGTGAGATTCTGATCCACCCTGGTTTAGCTTTACTGAGGTTCTGGATCATCCCTAAAGAGAAGTTCCCTGCAGAAGGAAAAGCACCTTTTCCACTCTTTTTCTGCCTGGGTGCAGCTTAGATGTGGTTTATCAAACTTTCAGGCACAGGCTGAGAGCAAACAAGTCAAATATCACCTGTAGTGGTGAAATTCCATTCATATAAATGTTAATAAATTAAAATAACGGCTTTGGGCTGTGGGTAGGGGGGATTGGCAGCCAGGGATGGGGGCATTCCATGTATCCCACCCTGTGTTGCTTGATAGGTCCCCTCCTTGGGGACCTTGGGGCTGGGCTGTGCATTGCTGGAGCCTGGGAGAGGAGGAGCAGGAGGCTCTGGAGAGTGGATTAACCTCCTGTTGTGGACATGCATGGAAAGCAAAGTGTCTGGGTTACGAGGATCCCGGTGGGAAGTTTGGCTGGAGACGTGGGGTACCCGTGTTTTGGAGCAGGGAAATGCTGGGAATCATTTCTGCCCCAGGCCTGGGATGGCCTGGGCCTTGTCTCCAGCTGTGCCTGGGGAACGAAACCAGCTCCAAGCACAAGCCCAGGGCCCTGAGTCATCCCAGGATCCGGGAACTGGGGCTGCGGGGAAGCACCGGAGCAGGAGGCTGAGGCTGAGGTTTGGGGTTGGGAAAGCTGGGCTGGTTCCAGCGGGAAGGGGAGGTTTCTCTGGATTTGGGATGTGATGGGATCCAATCTCCACTGGGGTCTTGTCCCACCATCGCCTGTGTTAAGTCATTCCTTGCCCTGGGAATTTGCTGTTCAAACACTTTTTGGGGTAATGCAGCAGCCAGCAGAGACCCTTCCCCGCCATACCCTTCCTCTCCCAGCCAGAGGTGACATTCCCAGCTCGCTGGGCTTTTCTTCCATGAGCTCCTTGTGCGTTTCTCTGTATTTTTCTCTTCCTCCTAAACCCTTTCCCGGTGGTGAGAACACGATCCAGTGGCATAGCAAGGTTGGCATAACGGGATGTGACACTTATCATAAAAAGAGGGATTTGCAGGGTGGGGGCTGACAGGCTCCTTGGGGCACAAAACCCCGGCTTGATGGTGATGGGAACAGCAAGAGTGGGCTGGAGCCGTGCCAGGAGGGAGAGGGTCAGCGTGGCGTGGGCGAGCAGGAGTGGTTTGGGAGCATCCCATGCCCCAAATCCGGCACCGGGCTCGGTGTGGAACCCAGCTGACATGCAAACGGGCAGCTGGGCTGGGAAATGCCAGAGCCTGGGAGTGCTGGGAGCTGCCCAGGCCCTGCCCTGCTCTCTCATGGCCTCCCTGCATGCCGGGATAATTGGAGGGAGAGTTTCTCTTGGAGCGGGTGTTTTCTCACATGCTCTTTGTTGGAAAGCAGGACGAGCCTGAATGTTCCTGGGAGCTGGGGTAGGAGCGGTGCTCACCGCTGCTGCTGGCTTTGGTGGAGAGGAGGAAACCCCAAAATGTTCACCCTGCTCTGCAAGGACACGGTGGAACAGATCCATATCCACCTGCAATTAGCATCCTGTTCCTCTTTATTCCCTGTTCCAGCCTCCGCTCCGCTGGCGGGAGGCTGGATTGCCATCCCGGCAGCTCTGCCCTTCCCGGGATGCTCCCCTGCGCTCCCGAGAGCCAGTTCCTACATCCTGACCTCATTATAAAGATCACAGAGAGAGAGGAGAACAAATCTGGGCTCCCGGCTGCGCCGGCTTTGAAGCCGCTTGCCCCCGTCGAGCCGTGAGAGGCAGCGCAGGAGGAGCCCTGGTTGTTTGGGGATTAACTTCCCCGCTTGGATAATTGTCGGTTAATCGTTTCAGCGCGATGCCGGGGCCGGCACCTCGGCTGCTTCCCTGCGGGATGCAACCCCCGCCCCCGGCTGTGCCCCCCTTCCCCCCGCGGTGTCCCCGATGTCCCCGGGGCCGGGTTGGGACGCGCTCCCGGCGAGGTGGCAGCAGCCCAGCCCCGCTCCGCTGCACTTCCCTGGGTCCCATCCGTCATCTGTTTGTCCTGGTGCCCTGCCAGCGATTGTGCCGATTCCCACACCCACTTTCCATAACCCTCCGTCCTCGCCCGGGCGAATCGCTGGCGAGCTCTCGCCACCCATCCCTTTCCCCTCCTCTCTCCGATGGGATCAGACACGTTCTGGAGAGGGGGAAGAGAGGAAAGAGGGGGAAAAGGACAACAACAAAACCAAAAAAAGATCAAGAGGAAAACAAAATGTGACTCACTGCCTTTAATTTATTTGTATTTATTTATTTACTCCCCCCACCCTGCGCTGCAGGAGGCAACACCGAGTGCTGGCCATGATCTTCCAGGGAGCCTTGGTTGGTTGTCTGAGGCATCAGGAATGGGGGGGGGAATAATTTTCTCCACTCTTTTGGCCAAGGAAAAGATCACAGAGAGGAGCTGCTGGCACAGAAACTGCGTGGCACAGATTTTTAGGGCTGCCCAGGTCTCTGCGTGAGCATCCCGTGCCCCGCCAGCGCTCGACACCACACGGCACAGACCGGAGGGTGGAAATATCTAATTCCACCTCCTACACTGTGTCCTCGGCAGGGGAAAGAGAGAAAGAGGAGATAAAAGGCTGGGAAGCTCAAATGGTGTCATTAGGAACTATTAATGCTCTCATAAAAGGGCATTAATAAACACGGCAGCTCATCAGCGTCCATTAGCTCCGCTCGTGGCAGGGATCTTTGGGAGCTGCCGGAGTGTGATGCTCCCCTCGCCCTCATCCCGGTGTCAGCCTGCAGGGGGGTCATTCCTCCTGAAAACCATTCCCTCCACAAAAAAAAAAACAGGGAGGAAAAGCTCGCAGGAGCAAGCAGGGCTTCACACCTTCAGTCCTTTCGTGCCCAGAGCCTGCTCCGTGCTCCCAGGGTAGATGTTTACTATGAAAGAAAAAAAAAAAAAAGGCAGGGTTTGGAGTGCTCATCCTTACTTTCTCCCTCCCGCCCTCTTCCTGTTCTCGCCTCTTAAAAGGAGCTTTATCCTTTGACTCTCCCATCCCCGGGGCAAGCCAGAACCCACAGCATCTCGGGGCGAGCAGGCAACCCACATCAGCGGGCGGGAAAACAGGGAGGAGGCCCCGGCCTCTCCCGATAAGCCCATGGCAAAGCCAGGAATAGCAGCGAGGTCCCCGCACGGGAGCATTCCAGGCAGGAACAGAAAAACCCTCAGTCCCTGCCTTTGAAGAGCGGGGGCTGGCAGCCGGCCCGGCCTCGTGGAGAGCCGGGGATGCGCCGGGAGCCTCCTGTGCCAGGCCGGGCTGGGCACATCTGGGGGGAAGCAGGCACAGCTGGAGGGGCTGGGCAGAGCAGATGTGCACATCTGGATGGAGGCGGCACCGAGCGTCGTCCGGGCAGGCCCCTGTGGGTGGGCTGGTAATGCACAGCTGGATGGGTGCTGTGCACATCTGGGTGGAGCAGGACGCTCAGACATCTGGGCAAGGAGAGAGCAGCCAGCACAGCCCCCACGGCCTCGTGTGTCCCTTCCAGCACCCCTGGGTGCTTCTCCCCCCCACACAGCCATCCCTCTGCCTTCCCCTCCCCTGGTGATCCAAGGCATCCCAACCTGCCCAAAGTCTTAGTCATCATCACCTCTCTGTCATCGGGATATTTTCGGCTCCGGGGCTGCCAAGGTGGCATTGGGGAGCCCATATCCAAGGATCTGAGCGGGCCCTTGGCTTCCCTGTGACCTTTGGGCAGCTGGCAGGAGGCTGCCACCGGCCGTGACTCAGTGCAGGGCAGGTTTCTTTGTAGGGAAAGGGAAGCTTTGATCCCGAGGAGCCGGGGCACCGACCATGTTCCCCGCGTGCACTTTTGCCGGCGGTTTTATCTGATGCATCTCCTTTTTTTTTTTTTTCGGGGTATAACAACTCCCAGGGCAGGTTAGGACGGAGGAGCCCTGGCAGCGGAGTGTGCGTGGGCAGGACTGGAATAACGGGTGCCGTAGGAGAGGATTTACGAGCGCTGGGGAGGGAGGTTGGGGCTGGCTGGGAACGGCGCAGCAGGTCAGGGGTGAGGTGGGTTGTGCAGGGCCAGGAGCTCCCGTTACTGCCCCTTTGCCATCAACCCCCATCCCACTGGGTGTCCCAGCAAAGCCTCACTCCTCCAGGGAAGCATCCCAGGGTGGGGATGGAGGGCTGAGCCTGCTGGGCAGCGGGACCGAGCAGGAGTTTCGGTTGAGGGCAAAGCCACCAGGATGGGGCAGAGCTTTGCCACGGGAATGCTGGTGCAAATCACCTCAGCCAGCCCCTTCCCACCCCTCTGGAATACGGGGTCAAGCAGCACCAAGGCTTTTAACTGGGATATTGTGGCTTTCCCAGTGTGCCACAGCCTGGATCACTGCTCTGGATCACCAGATCACTGATGGGCTCTGTTGTGGGTGACAGCACCACCTGCATGCCAGGGCATTGCAGGTCCTAAATCCCAAATAGCCAAAGAAAACCCCTGCTGTGCCCCTTCACACCCACACCCACCCCAGCCCAGCATCCATCCTGGAGGAGTCATTCCCTAATGATCTTTACAAGGAAAATGCACAAAATGTTGGAAAAGGAATCCCTGGGGAGCAGTGGGTGCAGCAGGGGGGGCAGGAGGGGTCCATCCCCCCGAGGTTCCCGGTAGCACCTCACCCTCCTCTCCTTGTCCTTGCAGGGTGCGGATCTGAGGAATGGGAAGGTCAAAGGGCATGTGCTGTCAGGTGAGTGCAGACCCCAAATGAGGTCCCACCAGCTGGGGCGAGGTGGTGGCACATCAGGACATGAGGGAGGGACACAAGGGAGGGACACAAGGGGCTCCTCAGGGCACAGCTGGGCGCTGTCTGAAATAGGAGCCACTTTTTCTCTTCTTTTTTTCTTTTCTAGAGGCAAAAGTGGTTAAAAAAAACTCCCCAGTGGTTGGAATCGCTCCAAACCAGTGCAAAAAGAGGGGGGAAGGGGGGAAGGGATCCAATCCTAAAGAAAAACCCGAGATAAAAGCGGGTGAATCCCAACGACTCCTGTAATGTTGCACGAACAAAGACTCCCAGTTCCAAAGGGGCCAGACCTGGCTCAGGGAGTTCACACCCCCAGGGGGGAGCAGGGAGGGGGTCTGGGGGCTCCCCTGGAGCCCTGCAGGAGCTCTGGCCTCTTGTCCCTTGGTGTCACATCCCCCTGTCCCTGACGGACAGTGAGGGGTGGCTGCACTGTGCATCCACGGGCTCTCCCCATGGATGCCCCTCTGGCATGGACCACCAGCCCTCAGCAGCTGGAGATGATGCCCTGAGCCAGCTGCAGGCCCCACATCTGGCCAGCTGTGTGCTGCTCTCTCCCACTCAGGCTGTGTTGGCACAGACCCCCAAGGGGCAACCAGGAGGGCAAAGGGGGCTGACTATGTCCTAGTGGGGTGCTGGGGATCCTCTACCCAGGGGAGGCTGCCTCCAGCATGGGGAGGGGGCTCAGTGGGGTGGTGCAGGGATGGGAAGGGGGGTGGAGAAGAGGTTGGGGCACCTGGCACAGAGACAAGGAGCACCCCAGGGCTCTGGAGTTGAAAGAGGAGGAGGAAAAGGAAGAGGAGAGGGAGGCAGCTGGCGAGGCAGGAGGTTTTGGGGCAGGTTATTTCAGGAGAGGCAAAACAGGATCTGGCCCCTGGGCACTCAGGGAGGTGATGAGGGGGCGGGTTTGGGTGGGCACAGGGGCTGCTCTTGCCTGTGAAGCACCTGAGCTTGTACTGACACGTGGCAAGGGACCAGGGTGCAGGACACTGTGTGGGAGAGCAATCCCAGGCTGGAGGGGGGTGGGGAGTGCCCGGTTATGTTGGGAAGCAGGTCCCACTGGGCTCAGGGGGATGCTCAGCCCTTACCTTTTGCACCCCCAGGGTACGTCCGGCCCTCGCCCCCTCCCCACAGCGGGTACCACCGCTACCAGTTCCGCCTGTACGAGCAGCCAGCGCACAAGCACATCGCCCTGAGCCCCGAGGAGGACGCCTCGCTGGGTAAGGATCCACTGGGCCCTTGATCCCAGTCCCCAGGGGCTTTCCCAGGGGTATGGATAGTGCCACGCGTTCAGCCACACCAGAAGTGCCAGGCTGGGGATGCTCGCCTGGCGCAAAGGGGCTCGGGATGCTTCCATGGGACATGGATGGGGTGTTAAATCCTTGCAGGGCGGCAGGAACCCTTTGGAAAATGTCTGGTGATGGGCTGGGTAGCGGGATCGGAAGCAGGGAGAGATGTGGGCTGTGCAATCCAGCACATCCCCCCCTCCTTCCCGACCCGGAGCTGCGGGCGTTGCATCACCCCCACCTCGGATAAGGATCAGCCGTGGGGATGGTTTAGCAAGGGATTGCTCAAACGGGGCTGACACAACGCCCCGCCAACTCCCAGCTCCTCAATTCCCAACTCCCCTCTGCTGCCTCCTCCCAAAATCCTGCACGGGTGGGGATGGAGGCAGCAGCTGAGACCCCTCGGAACGCCATCCCTGCTGCCTCCCCCTGGGGCACGGGACAACCCACAGGACCCCCGCAGGACCCCCGGGATGGGGGTTCCTTCCCTCCTCTCAGGAGCACTGCACTCTGCGGCCGGCGGGGCCTCAGCAAGGGAAATTTCAGAACTTTCCCAGCCGGGACCACACGAGCACAGCCCGGCAGGCAGGTCAGGGCAGTGTGTCACTGCCTGACTCACCCCCTGCCTGTTAACCCTCACGGCACAGCCCGGGGGGAGCCAGCTCCGGGGGGCTCAGTGTCCCTGGAAGAGCCCTCGACGCCCCTCAGAGCAGGAGCAGGGTGTGATTCTCCTGCAAAGCTCTCTGCGGGTTCTCTCTGCCCTTGGCTTTGTTTTCTGGCTCATTAGCCCGGTGTGTTAATGACACCATTGATGTCACCTCCCCCTCGCTCCTCCCCGGCCCCTCATGCCCGGCGTGGTCAGAGGAGGGGGCTCCCTCCCTGCTGTCCCCACATCCCCCTCGCAGCATCCCAGGGACGGGAAAGGACACTGACACACCCACCGAGGAGCTTTTTCCAGATAAATCCTCTTATTAGTAGGACATGTGGCTCCAACCCCCAAAATTCCAAATACCCAAAGAGTTCAGCCACCCTGTGGAAAACCCCCCACATGCCCCTGTTCCCGAGGAGGTGTGGGATGGCCGGGCACTTCCCATCCTGGGTCTGTCTCCATCCCATGCCTGAGTTTTCCAGCTCTTCCCGAGCTTCCTGGGAAAGACCCAGCGGATGTTCCCATCATCCCTTGTCAGGCAGCTGCGGGGGTCTGGCAGGGGATGCTGTTTCAGGAGTGGGTTGAAGGTTGTTTTTAACTGTTTTGCTGCTGCATCACATCCTTGCCCTGTCCAGTGGGTGCTGCTGGAGTGAACCACTGGCAGCCCATTGTTTTTATTCCCAGGGAATGAGCCCTAAAAACAGCCCAAGGATGAGTTCTTGGTGTCTCAAGGGTTTTAAAGAAATCCATCCCCGAGGCAGTGGGATGAACACCAGTGGATCCATCCAGCCCTGCGTGGCTGAGCCCTGTGGTGTGAAGGCAGAGCACAGGGGAGAGGAACAAATGCCTTTGGCAGTTTGTAGGAACAAGGAGGAGGTGACCCCAATCCCAATGGATCATGGATAAGAAACCAGCCGGCTCCTCCATGCCTTGCTCCTCTCCTGTACAAACCAGGCAGGTTCTCCTGGTGATGCTGCTGCAGGCACAGTTTGCAGCAGAACTTCCCATCTTATTTGGCCTTAAACCAGCCCCTTTTTTTTTGCTTTTATTTTGTTCCACATCTGGTGGCAGCCACATCTCCCTCTCACTAAGGGTGAGGGCAACCCTGGGCAGGGAGATGTCCTGAGCAGAGCTCCTGGTGGTGCAGGGAGCGGTGCTGGACCCTCCTAACCTGCAGATGGATCCAGCTGTAATCCCTGTGCCGGGCATCCATCCCTCTGGCAGCTCGTCCCCTGGCAGAGCTGAGCCCTCCAGAGCATTTCTCACACCGCTCAGCTCCCAGAAAAACTCCCTCCTGGCGCGGGGTGTGTTTTTTGGAGGCCGAGGCAGGAAAGGTCCCGGGCCAAGCGTGGCCGAGGCGGGGGAGGTGACATGTGCCAGGCGGGATGGCAGGAGCTCGGCCGGAGCCTCCAGAAGAGGGCACTAAACCGGGACCTGCCCGCGTCGCCTGTCCCTGCTCCTGGAATAGATCCCTGGGAATTTAAAAGGCGAGGGGCGACGGCGAGCGTGGAAAATAAATCCGTGCTTCTCCTCCCCACTGCCCGGCTACGCCACGCCAGCAGCTCACAGGGAGCCAGGACAGTTCCAGGGTGGCTCTGGTGCCCACCCTGCCGTGGGGATGTCCCTGCTGGGGTGGCACCGGTGGGCACAAGTCGGGTGCTGTGCCCAAGGGCAGCCAGGCAGGCAGTGGCGGAGCTGGAAGGGCTGCAGCACCTGCTCACATCCCTCCTGTGATGGGGAAATCGGTTGTTTACGGCTGAGGAGTTTCTCCAGGGTGGCTCTTGAGTAAAAAGCTTGTTTCATCAGGAAAAAGAAAACCACCCTGATCCTTCTCTCCGTGAGCGTTTCTGATCGACGCCGGCACCAGCCGGCTCTGAGTGACCTCGGGCAAATAACTCTCTCAGAGCCTCAGTTTCTCTGCTGGAGTCTGATTCACTCCACTTTTTTGGCCACTGAACTGTCCCCAAGCACCAGCTCTGTCCCCGCTGGGGACGGAGGTGGGGATGTTTGGGGTGTCCCTGCCGCTGTTCCTCCCGCTCTCCCCACTTCCCTCCCAGCCAGGAGTGTCACAGGCCGTGGTTGTATTTTTGGGGAGATGCAAGATAAGAGTTTGTGGTGTGTGAAATGTCAGAGCCACCCGTGGCATCCCCGGGGTGGTGGCACTGCCGTGAGCTCTCGATCCGGTGGCAGGAGCCGCACTGAGCCACGGGAAAACCCCTCGGCCAGGGGAATTCGGGCACCCCCGGCAGAGCCTGGCTGCGGTGTGGGGGAATTAAAATCCCTTCACTGCTTTCACCGAGGGGCAGCTTTAATTAGCACAAAACCTGGAGGCTTAATTGCACCTGCTGGTACCTGAGTACCTCCCTCTGCTCCCACCCTGTCCTGGTGCCGGATGCCCACCGGCTCTGGTGAGCGTGGAGAGATGCTCCAGCATCCCCAAACCTCCTCCTGCACTGGAAAAATATTTTAGAACTGGGAATAGACTTTATCCTCACGGAAATTTTCCCTCAGGGGAGCAAAGAGCCCCCTTTGGGGACGAGGCACCGGGATGAGCCCAACCAGCCGCTCTCTCCGTGGCTCCATCCCTTCTCCAGCCCTGGCTCGGGATCAGGGCCGTGGCATTGACTCATGAGCCGACCTTGTGCGCCTCCAATCCCATCCACCCAGCTGGAAAATCGGGTTGGACTGGGCCCCAGCGGGGAGGGAAAGGCTGTGGCCGGGATGGGAGGCAGTGAAGGGCTGCGGGGGGAGCTCCCAGTCCCAGCCCGAGCCCCGGGGTGTCACTTAATGGTGACCAGAGCGGCCGCCCGCCTCCCGCCCACCTCCGCCGGGGCATCATCAATCTCGGCAGAGAAGCATCAGGGCTCCCATCAGGAGAACATTCCCGCTGATGAGGCTGATAAATTACAGCCGGGGGAGGAGGGGACAGGAGTTTGGGGGGGGAGGGGGCAGGGGGCTGTGAAAGCTGCAGGGTCAGAGAGATCCCGAGCTCCCCAAGCCCCGAGGGTGCCTCGTGCCTCAGTTTCCCCAGCTGGCGCTCCGGGATCAGGCGGCCAGGCACGTGTGGGTGTCAGCGGGCACTCCTCTTCCTCAGATAAGGGCAGAGTGTGATGATATAATTCTTGGGAAACAAGCTTGAAAACGGACCAAGCCGCGGATGAAACGCCCTATTGTTGTGGCAGGGAGAGGGGACAGTGGCACCACGACCTCGGCTCCCTGGCTGCCATTATCCATATCCTGCTCCATTCCCAAGCTCCATGATCCCGGTGACTCAGTCCCCGGCCCTGGGAGCCAGCTGGTGTGATTTGGGATGCCTGGCACAGGGATGTCACCCCGGTGGTCACGCCAGGACGGGGCACCCGCTTCGGGGATGCACCCAAGGGGGTGGGATTTGGAGTGTGGGGGCATCCAGACCCCCAGACCCGGTACCCTCCCGGTGCATCATCCCCTTTGCTGCCCCGGGGCTTTCCCTACCCCGGGAGGGCCGGGCACAGCCGGTGCCATGGCAGGTAGGAAAGTAGGTCAGGAAAAACCCCGGCCCCACGCGCGGGGCGAGAGCCAGGACCGGCGCCTGCAGCCCCGCGGCGGCTCTGCCTCCTCCGGCTCCTTTCATCCCGCGCCTCTCCCGGGGCTTCCCAAACATCAGTGACAGCTCCAGCCCCCCCGGGGAGTCGGGGGTGCCGCGTCTCGCTCTCACCCTGGTCCCAGGGGGCACGGGCTGCTCTCCCCTGGGGTTTTCCAAGCGCTTTGAAAGCTGCCGGATGAAAGGCCCCCGGCAAAGGCTGCGGGCGCAGCGGGAGCGTCCCCCCCAGAGACCCCTTTCCCTGGTGCCACACTCGCTGGGACCCCTGGCGCTGAGCGGGGGCTGGATTGAGACCCTGAATTGAGCAGCTTCCCCTCCTGCCAGGGGTGGAATTTGGGGATGGAGGTGTTTGTGGCTGTGTGTCCCGGCTGGGGGGTGACACCGGTGTGGGACGTCAGGACTGTCCTTGCTCTTGGCTTGGTTTGGGCCCTCCGAGGGTGGCAGTGATGATGTGGGGACTCCAGCAGCAGCCTGATGCATTCCAGCACCTCTCCCAGCTGGAGTGTGGGATGCAGGGTCCGTCCTGAGCATCCTGTGACCTCCTTCCTGGGCACTGGAGCATCCCAGCCACGGCCTGCTGCAGCTCCAGGAGGTCGCAGGGTGCAGTGCCATCAGCAGGAGCATTTCCAGAGCTTCTTGGAGCTCAGAACCTGAGATGGGGAGCAGGTGGGAGCTCCACCAGCACCCTGAGCCACCACCACCCCCCCATGCAGGTGATGAAGCAGCTCAGGTTGTGCTCAGCACTTTTGCAAGAGCAAAGAGGACGCTTTGCTCCAGTTGGGGCTGAGATGTGACGGCAGATAAAGGGCTGCCAGGCTGTGGTGTGACATTAAAGAGCAGCCAGGAAGAGGAGAGGACAGCTTGCAGATAAACAATGGGCCCCCTTCCCCACCCTGTGACACCAAGGCAGTGTCCCTTCCAGTGTCCCACAAGGAGGGGCAGTGGTGACAGTGTGAGCTGTTTGAGTCCCTGGGAAAGCCCCTCTGGTGGGGAGCAGGATGCTCTGGCAGCCACCAGCCAGACCCACGCTGGGTGTCAAACCCTGGCAGGGTGCAGGGGGATTTCTGTACCCCATGGGGTACAAGGGAATCCCTCCTGCCCCAGAGAGGGTTTCCCTGACACCTCCATGGGAAACACCACAGCTGGATCCAGCCACGGGCTGCCCCCAGAGCTCCAACAGCCTCAGGTCTGGGCAGAGGAGGAGGGTCAGGGATGAAGAACCTGCAGTTTGTGGAGCAGCAGCTCAGTGTGTGTGTGCGAGGGGGACGGGGGATCTCCTGCATCACCCCCACGTGCTCTCGGGGGATTTCCAGCCCAGCCACCCCTGGGATGGGCTCGTGGGAAACCACAGAAAGGTCTGCTCCAAAGGCCAAGGAGGCAGGAGAGGAAGCAGCCCCACGTGCCCCCCGGGCTCCCTGCTGTCCCTGGTGCCTCCCGGGGTGCAGGATGTGGGGTGGGCAGAGCAGCGGCCGCACAGGGTGTTAAACCCCAGCCTGGAGCTGGCCCTGGAACATCCCCGTCCTCCAGCCCCGCTCACCCCCTTTCCCTCTCTCCCCAGGTTCCTGGGACCTGAAGGGCTTCGTGGAAGATTTTGGGCTGGGTCACCCTGTGGTCAAGACCCAGTTCCTCACCAAATACTACGAGGATTAGCTCCGGTCAGCGCGTCCTTCCCCTGCACATCCTCACCCCACAGAGCCACCTCTGCCCGGAGCCGAGGGGACCCCAAGACCCACCAAGGATGCACCCACCCTGCTCCCCACCCAGACCCACAGCACCAACCCCATCCCCTCCACTCCCAAACCCGAGTTCTCTTTCCCACCCTGAGCGGTGTCCCAGCTCACCCTGGCTATCCCAAGAAGGATGGCATCACCTCTTCTCCTCCCCTCATCCCAATTCCAGACCTTACCCCCAGCATGTCCCGCCTGCACCTTGGGGACCTTGAGTTTGAATGCCTGCAGTTTCCCGAATAAAATATGGATGGAGCACACGGGGGAGTCACGGGCTCCTTGCTGGCAGCAAGCACTGGACAGATCAGGTTGTTCTGGTGTCTGCACCCACTGCCAGGGATGAGACCCCCTGTGGGTGATGGGGGCAGGGGGCTGCCATCAAAACCCTCATGTAGGTGATCCCAGGCATTCCCAGCGTCACCCAGGAGTGGGAGTGGGATGGTGGTGCCCAGCCAAGGGGCCCATCAGCAGCACCACACAGTGTGGGAACCGGGCACTGCCCCGGCCTGACTCCGTCTCTGCCCTGCCTTTGCCCTCAGCCCGCTCCTCTTGGAAAGCAAAACCCAAATTAAAGGCATAAATCAGCAGAGCTCTGCCTACTGGCCACTTAGCCAGACCTCCCCTTTAATTAGCTCCTTAATTAGGCTTTCATCTAAGACTCAGTTTTCTCTGAGGCTCCGATTCACCCGCCTGCAAGTCCTCCTTGAAGCATGTCCTGGTGTCTCTGCTGTGACAGAGCTGACTCTGTCCTGCTCATGGCCAGGAACAATATTGCACTTGGAAAAACCGTGGGGAGCAAGACCCCAGGACGAGGGGACATTCTGCAGGCAGGGAAAACTGAGGCACGAGGGAATGACTCTCAGGGAGGTCTGGGATCCCTCCGAGGGGGCGGCGATGCTGTTGGTGCTGCATCAGTCCCTGGGTTTATCCCAGGGCAGCCTGTTCCTGAAAAAAACATCCTGCTGGTCACCTTCCCTGGCTCCCCAGCAGTGAGAGTGGATTTCACTCCTTCGTGGGGGGGGGTTAAATGTGGCTGGGACTTTCCCTGCAGCAGGATACAACTGTTTGCCTCCCCAGGGGCTGGATCACAACGGCCCCACATCCCCGGGAAAGGTCAGGGTGATGGGTACATCCGAGAGAGATGCAGGAGCAGGGGCCCAGCTCGCCCTGTGGGCACACACTGGGTGAAGCTGCAGGACCCGGGGGGAAGGCAAGCAACAAAAAAAGGAAGCTGGGTAACACCACAAGCCAGGGAAAAAAACAGCAAGCCCGCGGCCGCCGGCGCTAAGATTAGCAGGGAGGAAGTGACACGGCGCCGTGTCATGGAAGTCTGCTAAAGTTGGATTGTTCCCGCTCTTTGCCTCTCCTTGCCCTCGCAGGAGGGTGTAATTGGCCCGTCGGGTCGGTGAGAGGGACTGGTGTAAATGAGAGGTCACGCTCTGTTGACATCCTGCAGCCAAACTCCCGGCGGCCTTTCCTCCCCGCCTGTAATTCCGCGTGCCCGGGGGGGTTATTTTTGGTGGGACGGGAGGGAAAAGCTGATGGGATGTTTATCCTTCTAGGAAATTAGCACCGTTGCTCCTGGGTTTAGTTGGAGGTGAGGGGATGAGCCAGGATTGGGATTGCTGGGCGCCAGAGCCCGGACTGATCCACTGCCCTGTGTGACCCTGATGGGAATGGGATGGGGAACAGGGGTGGGAGTGAGGATGGGGATGGAGAATGGAAATGGGAATGGGGATGAAGATGGAGATGGGGATGGGGATGGACATGGGGATGGACATGGGGATGGGGATGGAGATGAGATAGGTGGAGGTGGGATGAAGAACAGGAATGGGAATGAGGATGAGGATGGAGAACGGGGAGGGGGATGGAGATGGAAAGGGAGAGGGGAATGGGAGTGAGATGGGGATGGGGATGGGGATGGAGAGCAGGGATAGGGATAAGGATGGAGATGGGGATGGGGGTGAAGATGGGGATGGAAAAACACAAATAGGGATAAGGATGGGGATGAGGAATGGAAATGGAGATGGGGATGGGATGAGGATGCAATTGGGATGAGGATGGAGATGGAATGGGGATGGAGAGGGATATGATGGAGATGGAGAGGGAGACAGGACAGGGGTGGAGACGGAGATAGGGACAGGGATGGGGAAGGTGTGGATCAGGAATCTGCCCAGGTGGCTGCAGTGTCCCTGTGGTGGGACAATTCCTGCTGGGACGCAGGATGAGGCACTGGTGGCCTTGTATCAGACACCAGGGCCCACACAGGGCTGCAAACACCAAGTGTGGCAGGAGCTCCAGCCAGCCCCGAGCCACAGCCCCTCACCGGGATGCACGCGGGGCCCTCACGGCGTGGAAAATATTAACTGTGGTTTTCTGGTTCGCTTTTTGGTAATTTAGAAAGAACGAAAGGGAAAAAAAATAAAGCAAAAAGGAGGAAGCCACGTACAGTCACTTCGTGCTGGTCCCACCCCCTTTCTCTCTCCTTCCATTCGCTCACCGTCGATTGCGAGAGAGAGAAAAGAGAAGCTGAGCCTCTCGCTGCCTAAATGTAGAAAGTTTTGCTTCTAAATCAGTTTGTGATGGAAAGGAAACACGTCACGTCCCTGGGGAAGTGGCTGGTTTTGAGCAGCCACAACCCCAGCGCTGCAATGGAACAGCCCAGCACTGAAATAGCTCCCGCGCTCTGTTATTGTCACCCGGAGAAGTTTTTTTTCTCTGTCTACGTGTGTCATTTTTAGCCTCCAGAGGAAGTTTTATTTGTATTTGTTACCTCGAATTTCCACTGCTGTGGCTTTTTTTTTTTTTTTTTTGACATTTTCGTGTGAAGGGGCTGGGAGAAAACACGGCGGGGTGAGCTCAGGTGTGCTTGGGGTCAGCGGCGTATCCCGGGAATTCCGGCATGGATTCACCAGCTTTGCAGAGCCCAGCGGGATTCAAAGGCCACAGGCCCGTGGAAACACACGGTCCCAGGGATTCTGTGAGCTGAGCTGAGCCCCGTGTGGCTGTGGGGTGGACACAGCCACCCTTTGCTCCCCCAGGGTGATGTTGTGAGGTGGGTGTGGGCGCTTCCAGCCCTTTCCCAAAGCAAACCCACCCACTCCGTGGGATCACTGAGGAAGAGGAGGACCTGGAGTTTGAAAAATTAATAGTGAACTCGTGAAAACTGAATGTTCCTGGTGAGCAGTGGCAGCGCCCAGCACACAGGGGGGATGTTTCTTCCCAAAACTGGGCTGGAGGCCAGAAGAAGCTTGTGCTGAACACAATCCCTAAATCAGCAGGGTAACAATTACCTATTTTTAATAATCACTGAAACAATTACTCTGCTGAGAGAAAGTCTCAGCCCCTGGCTCGAGGGGAGGCAGCCCTGGGTCTCATCCCTCGTTGGAGAGCAGGAGGCATCTCCCTTCTGGGGAGGAAAATGCAGATTTTGGAGCAGGGGGGGTGTTAAGGAGCAGGGTCTGGGGGACACCCCTTGCACCCCCAGTGATTCAGTGCCATGTGGGGATGACACAGGGACGATCCAGCTCCGAGGAGCTCAGCAGTGCCAGGCAGCAGCTCCCCCTCACACGGGGACTTGCTCAAGAAGGGATTAGCAGGATCAGCTGATGATGATCTAAGCGCATAACTATATCAACCCGTGAATTAATTAATGATATCTCGCACCTCGGAGTGGCTCTATCTGCAGATCTCTGCACTCCTCAAAGCATCCACTGAATTAAGCCCTGCTGCACCCCCCGGGAAATAGGTCAGGATGGATAATCCCCATGTGCCGGTGGGGACACGGCGGCACAAGGAGGGGGATAAACAAGGCTGCCCATTTTGGGAGCCAACGTGGGAGATTTTCCAGCACCAGCATCCCCGTGGGGTGCAAAGGGACCCTGCCCTCCGTGTGTCAGCCACGGGGGGGGTGACTTTGGGATGCTCCAACTCCCGGTGCTTTGCTCCCATCCCTCATTCCTATGCCGTGGACACACAGAGCCCCCAGTCCAGGGTCCCCAGTGCCATGGGTGGGCTGGTGGTGGTGGGTGCCCACACTGGGAGCTGCTGGATGCAGCAGCTGATCCATGGACAGGCAGCTGGGCGGGCCCTGGGAGAGGCTCCTGGGCTGGGGCAGGAATTTAGGGCTCCTGAAGTAACAGGGAAGGCGGGCGAGGCCAGGACGTGTCCCCACCTCTGTGTCCATGCCAGCACCCAGAGGGGACCAGCGGGCAGCCAGGGGCACGTGGGCCGGTCCTGGGGTGATGCCTTCATTAATTAGTGGTAATTAATTATTATTGGGCCTCCAAAATGCTGTATAATATCAGAGGAGCTCTGTGGGGCTGTCTGGGGGCCCTGCCAAAGCTTGCTTGGTTTGGGGGTCCTGGCCCCCCATCCCGCTCACTGGGGCTGGACCATTCAGCCAGGCTCTTGCAGCATCCTGGGATGCAAATTCCGAGTGTTCCTGAGGGAAAGCAGCTGCCTGGCTGTACCCAGAGACCTGCCAGCCATCCCGGGACGAGCATTCAAGGGATGCTCAGCAGGGAGAAACTCTGCCCAGGTTTTGTTTCCTCTTTCAGCTGCTCCCCGAGTCGGTTTGGGCTGGGTTTGTCCACAGCCAGTGGGAAGCTCCCAGCCTCTCCCACTCCGCCGGGAGCACGAGCACCTTCAGATGTGGTTTTGCCCCAAAGCAGCCCTTGGTAGAACAGAAAAACAGGGAGTTTTTGATACGGTGGTCCCAGCCCACCAGCTCTGCTCCTGCCCAGAAGCCGCCGTGCCTGCGCTGCCCTGTTTATTTTTATCCCAGCTCCTGCAGGATGAGGCGGATGCCTCCCGGGGGTTTGCATCCCGAGGCGTGGTGGAAGGTGCTGGATGGCTCTGCCAGCCACCCCTGCAGCCACCAGGGCTGAGGACGGACGGACTCACGGACTCGGCCCGGCTTGTCCTCACTTGTCGGCAGCTCTCGCTGCCGTTCCCTGCCCGCAGCCCCGCGGGTCCTCAGCCAGCCTCACATTTCCTCATTGCTAGGAAGTGGCTAATTCCCCCCGGGCCGGTTTCAATGGCTCACAGATCCCTCGCCTTTTGGCCTCCCACCAGTTTCTGCGGCGGTTGAAGCGCAGCCCTCGGGAGCAGCGCGTTCCCAGGCACGCAGCCTCTGGATTTCGCAGGCTGGGAGGGCGTCCACCCCTCACACGGGATCATGGCATGGATACCCCAACGCTGGATTCACCCCTGGTCAAGCTCTGCGGCCTCTGAGCCACGCTCACACAAAACTGAGCCC